GAATTCGTGTACGTAAAGGTTATATATATTGCCCCCTATAATTAGGTCCGTCGCATTTCGACTATTATATGATTCGTCTAATCTTAAGTAAAATGTCCTCGTGAGCCGTGTTTTTTTTGTAAACACCCTGTTTTCGTCGATAAGAAGCCGTGTTTTTTTGTAAACACCCTGTTTTCGTCGATAAGATAAGATAAATGCCGTTGGCTTTGATTTGTCCCTAATTCCTTCTCGTTCATAATAATTATCTTTAAATCTTATAAATTTTACGCTGAATTTAGCAACTGTTTGACAAAAACATTTTTTGTTTTTTCTTTGAAAAAATATGCTCACTGCAAAGAGGATGGAAAAAAATCTTTTTTTTTTATTTTTTTAATTTTTTTTATTATTTTATTATTATATTCTCACGAAAGCGCCGTTTGCACCACCGCTAACGTACTGAAGTTAATCACATGCTGCCACTTCTCACCGATTCGGAGTGGACAGAACATACTTAATATAAATTTATTTAAAAAAACTAAAAAAAAATAGAAAAAAAATATAAAAAAATAAAACATAAAAAATAAAATAAAATATAAATAAAAAATAATATTCATTTTTCCATCCTCTTAGTAGTGAGCATATTTTTCATTTTTATTTTTAATTTATTTTTATAATTTTTAGTTTTTTTAATTTTATTTTTATATAAAAAATAAAATTAAAAAACAAAAAAAATTAAATTATAAAAATTATATAAATTTTTATAATTTAAATTTAAAAAAATAAATTGTGATTATGTAGTAATTGGTCCTCACAGTCAAGGGTAAGGTGACCCGTGGGAGCGTAGAGGACGCAGAGATGTGTAATGTCTTAAAAGATTCAGGCATATTCTCTGAGTTTAGCCACTGAAGCGGCGTCGTGTCAGTTACGTTGTCTGTTCCGAGCACGTGATACGATTCACTTATGCCGATTTCTGCTTGGTAACAAGTTTTAGACACTGGGTTTACCGGGCCAGTAATCTAGCAAAGTTGTATAATCCAGATAAACAATGGATTATCTTCGGGTTTTTGAGTAGCACCAGAACGTCCAATTATCAATACGATCATCTCTTTACAATCCGCATGATCAGCGGTTCTGGATGAGCTACATGCCACGCAACATAACACAATTAACTGAATCGAGCGCCGACGTCACAAACCGAAGGACAAAGCACTTTGTGATGCGCTTTGGATTCGCAACCCTATCAGCGAGAGATGACAATTCCACGAACTGACTGTTTACGGAAAACCGTAGGATCTGAGTTTCTTGAGGAACGCTCTAAAAATCCTAGCATTGTCTAAGCATGACATCACAATTAAGTAGATGATCGACGATTCAGATTTCCCAATCTGAATTGCGAGAAGATGTTGTCGATAAACCTGAATTTGAGCCGGGAAAAGGGGGATGAGATGAACGATGATTTTTTTGGAGTCGCGGCCAAGGAGTGGAACGCAGTTGCTCTTTAGAATCAGTACGTCCTTAGCGGTACTTTCATTTGTTATATTGATGCAATTCACTACAGTCTACGTCAGAAAATCGCTCGGGTTTATCCATTAGCGATAAGTATAACGGGCAGTTACGTTGACTACCTCATGCGATGAGACGATATGAGGTCGCTATTCGCTCAGCTAACCGACAACTTCGTTATGATCAGGGATGTGTGCTTCATCCCGAATCGATTTTTACTGCGTATACGATCTCAATTTGAAAAAAAACTATTTGAGCTTGAAAAGAATATTTCTGCGACTCTTGAGTATACCAAGTATTTTTTTATGAACACTATTGGCCGCGTTTCACCGGATGGCCGAAAGTAAATTCTGAAAGACAATAGTAGTAGTTGTGCACTACCACTCTACAGATACAAAACCACTACATCGAGGGGCTCCATTATTCTTGACTTGCTAGCTATTGTTTAATATGAGAATATTCATGACAGCCACACATGCACCGTAATGCAGACGCTCCAATGTATCAATACGATCGATCATCTATTTTATCAATCAGTTCGCATCGAATAAATATTTACATATTTATCTTTAGCAGTCGATTTCTGTTGTGAGAGTGAGTCCCTGTTAGCTATGCCTTACGAACGCGAATCATAAAAACCTCTTATCCGGAATTGTATTTCATCAGATGGGCATAAGCTCATATAACGTTAGGCCTACAAGCAAAGATATGAAAACACGTTAGTACATACGGATCATGCATCAATAACACTCGAAGTCTGATTAACATAAGCACTTAGCTGTAGAGTGCGAAAAACTACCTACCTCGGTCTTCAATCTTCGCTCAACCTCTATAGCATTGACTTTCGCAGAGCATGACTAATTTTGCCACGAACGTGAATCTGCTTCTAACAAGAGACAAAGCACGACCATTAGCTCATTGTAATCCTAAGGCCATAGTGACTTTCCTATGGACCGCGCTTTAAGCTTCGAGGTGCGATTCAACCTCGAATGCATGGTTTGTTGACCCGCTTCATTCAAATGTCGTTCAAAGACAATTCATGAACGGCAAGGATAGGATACAGTAAAACTTACGATACGGTAAAAAATAATTTTTTTCAGATTAGTAAAGTATTCCATTGCGGAAACACCGTAAGGCTCTCATTATCATTGTGCACTCTCTTCCTTTATAACAAAGAAATCGTCATCGTCAACTGGTATATATCTAAACACGGCAGAGGATGCACCATGTCGGACCTTCATTCCATATGTTCATGTTTATAGAGCAGCCAATACACAGTTATTCCATAGTTGATTTTTTGCAACTTCGTTACAGTGTGCCTTCACTAGCTCATCCCACAAGTTACCTCAATCAGGCGAATAAAATGCACGACGTTATTTTAAAAAGTAGACCGGGTGTAGACAAGCTGCGTGTTTTGCTGGAAGCTTGCAGTCTAAAAATGTGGTCATCTCAGATGGTATAGGGAATTCGTGTACGTAAAGGTTATATATATTACCCCCTATAATTAGGTCCGTCGTATTTCGATTATTATATGGTTCGTCTAATCTTAAGTAAAATGTCCTCGTGAGCCATGTTTTTTTTTGTAAACATCCTGTTTTCGTCGACAAAAGACTAAATGCCGTTGGCTTGGATTTGTCCGCTAATTCCTGCTCGTTCATAATTAATATAATTTTTACGCTGAATTTAGCAACTGTTTAACAAAAACATTTTTTGTTTTTTTTGAAAAAATATGCTGACTGCTAAGGGGATGAAAAAATGATGAATACTTTTTTTTTTTTATTTTTTATTATTATTTTTACGAAAGCGCCGTTTGCACCACCGCTAACATACTGAAGTTAATCACATGCTGCCACTTCTCACCGATTCCGAGTGGACAGAACATATTTATTAATATAAATTTATTTTTTAAAATTTAAATTATAAAAGATATATATAAAAATATTAAAAAATAAAAAAAATAAAAAAATAATATTCATTTTTCCATCCTCTTAGCAGTGAGCATATTTTTCAATTTTAATTTATTTTTATTATTTTTATTTTTATTTTACATTTTATTTTTTATTTTTTTAATTTTTATATAATTTTTATAATTTAAATTTTAAAAAATAAAATGTCCACTCGGAATCGGTGAGTGGCAACATGTGATTAAGTTAGTACGTTAGCGGTGGTGCAAACGGCGCTTTCCTAAAAATATTAGAAACAGTCAAGGCTGATATTATAACGGCTGTACGACCCCGTGTGGGGTACGACCCCGTGTGGGGAGCGTAAGAGGACGATCAGAGATGTGTAATGTCTTAAAAGATTCAGGCAATATTCTCTGAGTTTAGCCACTGAAGTTCGGCGCGTCGTCAGATCAGTTACGTTGTCTGTTCCGAGCACGTGATACGATTCACTTATAGGCGACGATTTCTGCGCCTTGGTAACACAGTTTTAGACACTTGGCTTTCACCGGGCCAGTGATTCTAGCAATGTATAGTTGTATAATCCAGATAATGAATATACGGATATGTATTAAGATACGTTCTATCCTGATCAGCTGCCTCTTCAGATTATATGATAATGACCGCGGACAAACTAAGGCAGCCATCAACTTTAAATAGGACAAGGTGATATTTTTTGAGTACCAGCCATTTGTATAAACCATTTGTAAACTGGAAGGTTTAGCATACGCAAGCTCAGAAGTGTCACAAGTGGTTGCGCGGGGTGTACATAATGGTCATCATCGTGAGTTTTTGAGTCGAGGCACCAGAACGTCCAATTATCAATACGATCATCTCTTTACAATCCGCATGATCAGCGGTTCTGGATGAGCTACATGCCACGCAGCATAACACAATTAACTGAATCGAGCGCCGACGTCACAAACCGAAGGACAAAGCACTTTGTGATGCGCTTTGGATTCGCAACCTTATCAGCGAGAGATGACAATTCCACGAACTGACTGTTTACGGAAAACCGTAGGATTCCGAGTTTCTTGAGGAACGTACCTCTAAAAATCCTAGCATTGCTAAGCATGACATCACAATTAAGTAGATGATCGACGATTCAGATTTCCCAATCTGAATTGCGAGAAGATGTTGTTGATAAACCTGAATTTGAGCCGGGAAAAGGGGGATGAGATGAACGATGATTTTTTTGGAGTCGCGGCCAAGGAGTGGAACGCAGTTGCTCTTTAGAATCAGTACGTCCTTAGCGGTATCCCTGTTTCAAAGATTTTTGTACAACCCTTCATTATGTTTGACCTGCCATATTCACTAAACAGTTTATACGTTCTAGTCAAAAATCTTTAGCACTGCGGGTTTATCCCATTAGCGAATAAGTATAACGGGCAGTTATCGTCCGCTCTGTTTAAGTATGTATGACTACCTCATGCGTATGAGACGATATGAGGTCGCTATTCGCTCAAGCTAACCGAAAAACAACTTCGTTATGATCAGGGATGTGTGCTTCATCCCGAATCGATTTTTACTAGCGTATACGATCTCAATTTGAACAAACTAAAAAATACAATTATTTGAGTTCTGTGGCTTGAAAAGAAATAACAATTTCTTAGGTTTCGGAACTTTTTTTGACCCACTTTTATCTTAGAGTAAATAGCCACTATTGCTATTTTCGCATATACCCATGATGAACGTTAAATACTATTAGAGACTTATGCTATAATATAAATACTACTAACAGTTTCACCGGAGTTAATGTCGCATCCTGCTATAGGTGGTGATTTGGTTTCAAAATCGGTGCATGAAATGGAAACGAAATAAAGTACCGTGAAAGGCCAATTGAAATTTTTGCCACAGGGAACTGCGGCTACGCCAGTAACAATAGTACTAGAGGGCCTCGATACAGCAGGCTGCACTGCACCCCCTACCTACAGATCAACGAAGGGCTTACCGAAAACCTACTATCATCGACGGGTAGCCTTCCACCCATTACGACAAATTTTGTTGCTAGTAAGTGTTTTAGACATATGTCATAAACAATTATATTACTAGTATTATCTATTGTATAGTAATATAAGACACGACGAATATTGACATGACATGTACATATTTACACCACACATGCACCCATATATATATGTATGTATGTATGGACGCCTGGTAAAGCTGTGCAGTACGCATTGCACTACCCTGGACTATAGGTTCAAGTGTGAACTTCAAATCATCGGATCCTCATAAGAAGAAGATAAAATCGCATGGAGATCTATAACTTATTTTTATTTTATCATTAGTAAATAAAAACACAGTTCGTTTAGTACTTATTTGTGTATATATTTACTCGAATAAATATTTACATATTTAGTTTTCATTTAGTCCTGCTTTAGTCGTCCTTATATTTCGTGTTGTGAAAGAGTGAGCGTCCCTTATGGGTGAATGTTACAGCTATGCCTTACGAATTCGCGAAGCTCATAAAAGACCTCTTTTTTTATCTGGTCCGGAATTGTACTTCGCGCTTTGGGCATCAGATGGGCATGAAGCTCATCTATCGTAACATTTGTTAGGCCTACAAGCAGAAAAGATATGAAAACACATTAGACAATACATAGCGGTTAAATCATCGCAGGTCAGAATAAACCACTCAGCAATGATTCTATAAATTAATAAAATAAGCCTGATTAAGCGATATTTTTCTACAGGTTGCAAACTAAGGCTGCGTCACCACGCTACGCTTAAGCAGTCTCGGACCTCACAACCAAAAACTACTTACCTCGGTCTCTAATCAATTTCCTTGCCTCGGCCTTCAACTCATCTCTCCATCCACACGAGGCAAGTTTCGTTTTCAAACTTTCTTTAAGCAGTTCTTCTTGTCCACTTTCGACCAGACGGGCCTTCACACGCTCGCATAATTCTGTAGTCATTCTTTTCTTTCGAATGAGCTGCGATACGTGAATGCGTTCTGTCCTCTAGTCTGGACAAGCTCTGAATAAGAGACAAAACACGAAACCATTAGCCCATTGTAAATCAAACCTAAATTTAATTATATATATATATATAGGCCATAGTGATCATTTAATTTCACTCACCTTCGACCTAATGCAGGACTACCGCGCTTTAATGCTTCGATTTTGGTGCGTTTGGTTAAGATTACAACCCGCCAGTTTCGTATAGATCGAATGCATGGTTTGTTGACCCGCTTCATTCAAATGTCGTTCAAAGACAATTCAGAACGGCAAGGATAGGATACAGTAAAACTTTGATTTTTTTTCAGTTAGTAAAGTATTCCATTGCGGAAACACCGTAAGGTCTCATTATCATTGCGCACTCTCTTCCTTTATAACTAAGAAATCGTCATCGTCAACTGGTATATATCTAAACACGGCAGAGGATGCACCATGTCGCGTGCCGGACCTTCATTCCATTTATTCATGTTTATAGAGCAGCCAATGCACAGTTTTCAAAGTTAATTTTTTGCAACTTAGTTACAGTATTCGACAGTGTGCTTCACTAGCTCATCCCACAGTTACCTCATCAGGCGAATAAAATGCACGACGTTATTTTAAAAAGTAGACCGGGTGTAGACAAGCTGCGTGTTTTGCTGGAAGCTTGCAGTCTAAACAAATGTAGTTATCTCAGATGGTATAGGGAATTCGTGTACGTAAAGGTTATATATATTGCCCCCTATAATTAGGTCCGTCGCATTTCGACTATTATATGATTCGTCTAATCTTAAGTAAAATGTCCTCGTGAGCCGTGTTTTTTTTGTAAACACCCTGTTTTCGTCGATAAGAAGCCGTGTTTTTTTGTAAACACCCTGTTTTCGTCGATAAGATAAGATAAATGCCGTTGGCTTTGATTTGTCCGCTAATTCCTTCTCGTTCATAATAATTATCTTTAAATCTTATAAATTTTACGCTGAATTTAGCAACTGTTTGACAAAAACATTTTTTGTTTTTTCTTTGAAAAAATATGCTCACTGCAAAGAGGATGGAAAAAAATCTTTTTTTTTTATTTTTTTAATTTTTTTTATTATTTATTATTATATTCTCACGAAAGCGCCGTTTGCACCACCGCTAACGTACTGAAGTTAATCACATGCTGCCACTTCTCACCGATTCCGAGTGGACAGAACATACTTAATATAAATTTATTTAAAAAAACTAAAAAAAAATAAAAAAATATAAAAAAATAAAACATAAAAAATAAAATAAAATATAAATAAAAAATAATATTCATTTTTCCATCCTCTTAGTAGTGAGCATATTTTTCATTTTTATTTTTAATTTATTTTTATAATTTTTAGTTTTTTTAATTTTATTTTTATATAAAAAATAAAATTAAAAAACAAAAAAATTAAATTATAAAAATTATATAATTTTTATAATTTAAATTTAAAAAAATAAATTTATATTAAATGTCCACTCGGAATCGGTGAGAAGTGGCAGCATGTGATTAACTTCAGTACGTTAGCATTGGTGCAAACGGCGCTTTCGTAAAAATATTAGAAACAGTCAAGGCTGATATTATAACGGCTGTACGACCCCGGGTGGGGAGCGTAAGAGGACGACCAGAGATGTGTAATGTCTTAAAAGATTCAGGCAATATTCTCTGAGTTTAGCCACTGAAGTTCGGCGCGTCGTCAGGTCAGTTACGTTGTCTGTTCCGAGCACGTGATACGATTCACTTATAGGCGACGATTTCTGCGCCTTGGTAACAAGTTTTAGACACTGGGCTTTCACCGGGCCAGTAATTCTAGCAATGTATAGTTGTATAATCCAGATAAACATAATGGATTATCTTCGTGAGTTTTTGAGTCGAGGCACCAGAACGTCCAATTATCAATACGATCATCTCTTTACAATCCGCATGATCAGCGGTTCTGGATGAGCTACATGCCACGCAACATAACACAATTAACTGAATCGAGCAAATCAAACTCTTAATATGTATATATATATATAGGCCATAGTGATCATTTAATTTCACTCACCTTCGACCTAATGCAGGACTACCGCGCTTTAATGCTTCGATTTTGGTGCGTTTGGTTAAGATTACAACCCGCCAGTTTCGTATAGATCGAATGCATGGTTTGTTGACCCGCTTCATTCAAATGTCGTTCAAAGACAATTCACGAACGGCAAGGATAGGATACAGTAAAACTTTTTTCTTTTTAAGATTTTTTTTCTTTTTTTTTTTAAGATTTTTTTTCAGCTTAGTAAAGTATTCCATTGCGGAAACACCGTAAGGTTCTCATTATCATTGCGCACTCTCTTCCTTTATAACTAAGAAATCGTCATCGTCAACTGGTATATATCTAAACACGGCAGAGGATGCACCATGTCGCGATGCCGGACCTTCATTCCATTTATTCATGTTTATTAGAGCAGCCAATGCACAGACAACAACTTAGTTACAGTATTCGACAGTGTGCCTTCACTAGCTCATCCCACACGTTACCTCGATCAGGCGAATAAAATGCACGACGTTATTTTAAAAAGTAGACCTCGATCAGGCGAATAAAATGCACGACGTTATTTTAAAAAGTAGACCGGGTGTAGACAAGCTGCGTGTTTTGCTGGAAGCTTGCAGTCTAAACAAATGTAGTCATCTCAGATGGTATAGGGAATTCGTGTACGTAAAGTATTGCCCCCTATAATTAGGTCCGTCGTATTTCGACTATTATATGATTCGTCTAATCTTAAGATTACATTTTACTTAAGTAAAATGTCCTCGTGAGCCGTATTTTTTTTTGTAAACACCCTGTTTTCGTCGATAAGAAGCCGTGTTTTTTTTGTAAACACCCTGTTTTCGTCGATAAGACTAAATGCCGTTGGCTTTGATTTTTCCGCTAATTCGTTCTCGTTCATTCATTCATTCATTCAGCGTAAAATTTGTAAGATTAAAGATATATAATTATCTTTAATCTTACAAATTTTACGCTGAATTTAGCAACTGTTCGACAAAAACATTTTTTGTTTTTTTTTGAAAAAATATGCTCACTGCAAAGAGGATGGAAAAAAATCTTTCTTTTTAATATTTTTATTATTTTATTATATTCTCACGAAAGCGCCGTTTGCACCACCGCTAACGTACTGAAGTTAATCACATGCTGCCACTTCTCACCGATTCCGAGTGGACAGAACATACTTAATATAAATTTATTTAAAAAAAAACTAAAAATTTATATAATTTTTATAATTTAATTTTTTTGTTTTTTAATTTTATTTTTTATATAAAAATAAAATTAAAAAAACTAAAAATTATAAAAATAAATTAAAAATAAAAATGAAAAATATGCTCACTGCTAAGAGGATGGAAAAATGAATATTATTTTTTATTTATATTTTATTTTATTTTTTATGTTTTATTTTTTTATATATTTTTTATTTTTTTTTAGTTTTTTTTAAATAAATTTATATTAAGTATGTTCTGTCCACTCGGAATCGGTGAGAAGTGGCAGCATGTGATTAACTTCAGTACGTTAGCGGTGGTGCAAACGGCGCTTTCGTGAGAATATAATAAAATAAAAAAATTAAAAAGAAAGATTTTTTTCCATCCTCTTTGCAGTGAGCATATTTTTTCAAAAAAAAACAAAAAATGTTTTTGTCGAACAGTTGCTAAATTCAGCGTAAAATTTGTAAGATTAAAGATATATAATTATGAACGAGAAGGAATTAGCGGAAAAATCAAAGCCAACGGCATTTAGTCTTATCGACGAAAACAGGGTGTTTACAAAAAAAACACGGCTTCTTATCGACAAAAACAGGGTGTTTACAAAAAAAAAATACGGCTCACGAGGACATTTTACTTAAGATTAGACGAATCATATAATAGTCGAAATACGACGGACCTAATTATAGGGGGCAATACTTTACGTACACGAATTCCCTATACCATCTGAGATGACTACATTTGTTTAGACTGCAAGCTTCCAGCAAAACACGCAGCTTGTCTACACCCGGTCTACTTTTTAAAATAACGTCGTGCATTTTATTCGCCTGATCGAGGTAACGTGTGGGATGAGCTAGTGAACGCACACTGTCGAATACTGTAACTAAGTTGCAGCAAAAAATTAACTTTGTAACAACTGTGCATTGGCTGCTCTAATAAACATGAATAAATGGAATGAAGGTCCGGCATCGCGACATGGTGCATCGTCTGCCGTGTTTAGATATATACCAGTTGACGATGACGATTTCTTAGTTATAAAGGAAGAGAGTGCGCAATGATAATGAGAACCTTACGGTGTTTCCGCAATGGAATACTTTACTAAGCTGAAAAAAAATCAAAGTTTTACTGTATCCTATCCTTGCCGTTCGTGAATTGTCTTTGAACGACATTTGAATGAAGCGGGTCAACAAACCATGCATTCGATCAATACGAAACTGGCGGGTTGTAATCTTAACCAAACGCACCAAAATCGAAGCATTAAAGCGCGGTAGTCCTGCATTAGGTCGAAGGTGAGTGAAATTAAATGATCACTATGGCCTATATATATATATATACATTAAATTTAAGAGTTTGATTTACAATGGGCTAATGGTTTCGTGTTTTGTCTCTTATTCAGAGCTTGTCCAGACTAGAGGACAGAACGCATTCACGTATCGCAGCTCATTCGAAAGAAAAGAATGACTACAGAATTATGCGAGCGTGTGAAGGCCCGTCTGGTCGAAAGTGGACAAGAAGAACTGCTTAAAGAAAGTTTGAAAACGAAACTTGCCTCGTGTGGATGGAGAGATGAGTTGAAGGCCGAGGCAAGGAAATTGATTAGAGACCGAGGTAGTAGTTTTTGGTTGTGAGGTCCGAGACTGCTTAAGCGTAGCGTGGTGACGCAGCCTTAGTTTGCAACCTATAGAAAAATATCGCTTAATCAGACTTAAGTCTGATTAAATAATAAAATTATTTTATAGAATCATTGCTGAGTGGTTTATTTTGACCTGCGATGATTTTACCGCTATGTATTGTCTAACGTGTTTTCATATCTTTTCTGCTTGTAGGCCTAACAAATGTTACCATAGATGAGCTTCATGCCCATCTGATGCCCAAAGCGCGAAGTACAATTCCGGATAAAAAAAGAGGTCTTTTATGAGCTTCGCGGATTCGTAAGGCATAGCGGTAACATTCACCCATAAGGGACACTCACTCTTTCACAACACGAAATATTAGGACGACTAAAGCAGGACTAAATGAAGACTATATATGTAAATATTTATTCGAGTAAATATATACACAAATAAGTATTAAACGAACTGTCTTTTTATTTACTAATGATAAAATATCCATGCGATTTTATCTTCTTCTTATGAGGATCCGATCATTTGAAGTTTACACTTGAACCTAATAGTCCAGGGTAGTGCAATGCGTACTGCACAGCTTTACCAGGCGTCCATACATACATACATATATATATGGGTGCATGTGTGGTGTAAATATGTACATGTCATGTCAATATTCGTCTATATTCGTCCTGTCTTATATTACTATACAATAGATAATACTAGTAATATGATTGTTTATGAAAAATGTCAAACACTTACTAGCAACAAAATTTGTCGTAATGGTTGGAAGGCTACCCGTCGATGATAGTAGGTTTTCGGTAAGCCCTTCGTTGATCTGTAGGTAGGGGATGCAGTGCAGCCTGCTGTATCGAGGCCCTTGTACACGAGTACTATTGTTACTGGCGTAGCCGCAGTTCCCTGTGGCAAAAATTTCAATTGGCCTTTCACGGTACTTTATTTCGTTTCCATTTCATGCACCGATTTTGAAACCAAATCACCACCTATAGCAGGATGCGACATTAACTCCGGTGAAACTGTTAGTAGTTTTATTCGTATTTATATTAGAGTCTCTAATAGTATTTAACGTTCATCATGGGTATATGCGAAAATAGCAATAGTGGCTATTTACTCTAAGATAAAAGTGGGTCAAAAAAAGTTCCGAAACCTAAGAAATTGTTATTTCTTTTCAAGCCACAGAACTCAAATAATTGTATTTTTTAGTTTGTTCAAATTGAGATCGTATACGCTAGTAAAAATCGATTCGGGATGAAGCACACATCCCTGATCATAACGAAGTTGTTTTTCGGTTAGCTTGAGCGAATAGCGACCTCATATCGTCTCATCGCATGAGGTAGTATACTACTTAAACAGAGCGGAGATAACTGCCCGTTATACTTATTCGCTAATGGGATAAACCCGCAGTGCTAAAGATTTTTGACTAGAACGTAAAACTGTTTAGTGAATATGGCAGGTCAAACATAATGAAGGGTTGTACAAAAATCTTTGAAACAGGGATACCGCTAAGGACGTACTGATTCTAAAGAGCAACTGCGTTCCACTCCTTGGCCGCGACTCCAAAAAAATCATCGTTCATCTCATCCCCCTTTTCCCGGCTCAAATTCAGGTTTATCACAACATCTTCTCGCAATTCAGATTGGGAAATCTGAATCGTCGATCATCTACTTAATTGTGATGTCATGCTTAGGCAATGCTAGGATTTTTAGAGGTACGTTCCTCAAGAAACTCGGAATCCTACGGTTTTCCGTAAACAGTCAGTTCGTGGAATTGTCATCTCTCGCTGATAAGGTTGCGAATCCAAAGCGCATCACAAAGTGCTTTGTCCTTCGGTTTGTGACGTCGGCGCTCGATTCAGTTAATTGTGTTATGTGCGTGGCATGTAGCTCATCCAGAACCGCTGATCATGCGGATTGTAAAGAGATGATCGAGATATTGGACGTTCTGGTGCCTCGACTCAAAAACTCACGATGATACATTATGTGGACTGATCTCTCGGTAAACCTTCCAGTTTACAAATGGTTTATACAAATGGCTGTACTCAAAAAATATCACCTTGTCCTATTAAAGTTGATGGCTGCCTTAGTTTGTCCGGGTCATTATCATATAATCTGAAGAGGCAGCTGATCAGGATAGAACGTATCTTATACATATCCGTATTTCATTATCTGGATTATACAACTATACATTGCTAGAATCACTGGCCCGGTGAAAGCCAGTGTCTAAAACTTGTTACCAAGGCGCAGAAATCGTCGCCTATAAGTGAATCGTATCACGTGCTCGGAACAGACAACGTAACTGACTGACGACGCGCCGAACTTCAGTGGCTAAACTCAGAGAATATTGCCTGAATCTTTTAAGACATTACACATCTCTGTCGTCCTCTTACGCTCCCCACCCGGGGTCGTACAGCCGTTATAATATCAGCCTTGACTGTTTCTAATATTTTTAGAAAGCGCCGTTTGCACCACGCTAACGTACTGAATTAATCACATGTGCCACTTCTCACCGATTCCGAGTGGACATTTTATTTTTTAAATTTAAATTATAAAAATTATATAAATAATTAATAAAAATAAAAAATAAAATTAAAATAAAAATAAAAATATAAAAATAAATTAAAATTGAAAAATATGCTCACTCTAAGAGGATGGAAAAATGAATATTATTTTTTATTTATATTTTATTTTATTTTTTAATTATTTTTATATATATTTTTTAATTTTTTTAAAATAAATTTATATTAATAATATGTTCTGTCCACTCGGAATCGGTGAGAAGTGGCAGCATGTGATTAACTTCAGTAGTTAGCGGTGGTGCAAACGGCGCTTTCGTGAGAATATAATAATAAATAATAAAAAAAATTAAAAAAAAAAAAAGAATATTTTTTCCATCCCTCTTGCAGTAGCATATTTTTTCAAAGAAAAAACAAAAAATGTTTTTGTTAAACAGTTGCTAAATTCAGCGTAAAAATTTATATTAATTATGAACGAGAGGAATTAGCGGACAAATCCAAGCCAACGGCATTTAGTCTTTTGTATCGACGAAAACAGGTGTTTACAAAAAAAAACAGGCTCACGAGGACATTTTACTTAAGATTAGACGAACATATAATAATCGAAATCGACGGACCTAATTATAGGGGGAATATATATAACCTTTACGTACACGAATTCCCTATACCATCTGAGATACCACATTTGTTTAGACTGCAAGCTTCCAGCAAAACACGCAGCTTGTCTACACCCGGTCTACTTTTTAAAATAACGTCGTGCATTTTATTCGCCTGATTGAGGTAACTTGTGGGATGAGCTAGTGAAGGCACACTGTCGAATACTGTAACTAAGTTGCAAAAAATAACTATGGAATAACTGTGATTGGCTGCTCTATAAACATGAACATATGGAATGAAGGTCGCGACATGGTGCATCCTCTGCCGTGTTTAGATATATACCAGTTGACGATGACGATTTCTTTGTTATAAAGGAAGAGAGTGCCAATGATAATGAGAGCCTTACGGTGTTTCCGCAATGGAATACTTTACTAATCTGAAAAAAAATCTAAAGTTTTACTGTATCCTATCCTTGCCGTTCATGAATTGTCTTTGAACGACATTTGAATGAAGCGGGTCAACAAACCATGCATTCGATCTATACGAAACTGGCGGGTTGTAATCTTAACCAAACGCACCAAAATCGAAGCATTAAAGCGCGGTAGCCTGCATTAGGTCGAAGGTGAGTGAAATTAATGATCACTATGGCCTATATATATATATATATATTAATAGTTTGATTTACAATGGCTAATGGTTTCGTGCTTTGTCTCTTTTCAGAGCTTGTCCAGACTAAGGACGAACGCATTCACTATCGCACTCATTCGAAAGAAAAAAATGGCTACAGAATTATGCGAGCGTGTGAAGGCCCGTTGGTCGAAAGTGGACAAGAAGAACTGCTTAAAGAAAGTTTGAAAACGAAACTTGCCTCGTGTGGATGGAGAGATGAGTTGAAGGCCGAGGCAAGGAAATTGATTAGAGACCGAGGTAGGTAGTTTTTGGTTGTGAGGTCCGAGACTGCTTAAGCGTAGCGTGGTGACGCAGCCTTAGTTTGCAACCTGTAGAAAAATATCGCTTAATCAGGCTTATTTTATTAATTTATAGAATCATTGCTGAGTGGTTTATTCTGACCTGCGATGATTTACCGCTATGTATTGTCTAAGTGTTTTCATATCTTTTCTGCTTGTAGGCCTAACAAATGTTACATAGATGAGCTTCATGCCCATCTGATGCCCAAAGCGCGAAGTACAATTCCGGACCGATAAAAAAAGAGGTCTTTTATGAGCTTCGCGAATTCGTAAGGCATAGCTGTAACATTCACCCATAAGGGACGCTCACTCTTTCACAACACGAAATATAAGGACGACTAAAGCAGGACTAAATGAAAACTAAATATGTAAATATTTATTCGAGTAAATATATACACAAATAAGTACTAAACGAACTGTGTTTTTATTTACTAATGATAAAATAAAAATAAGTTATAGATCTCCATGCGATTTTATCTTCTTCTTATGAGGATCCGATGATTTGAAGTTCACACTTGAACCTATAGTCCAGGGTAGTGCAATGCGTACTGCACAGCTTTACCAGGCGTCCATACATACATACATATATATATGGGTGCATGTGTGGTGTAAATATGTACATGTCATGTCAATATTCGTCGTGTCTTATATTACTATACAATAGATAATACTAGTAATATAATTGTTTATGACATATGTCTAAAACACTTACTAGCAACAAAATTTGTCGTAATGGGTGGAAGGCTACCCGTCGATGATAGTAGGTTTTCGGTAAGCCCTTCGTTGATCTGTAGGTAGGGGGTGCAGTGCAGCCTGCTGTATCGAGGCCCTCTAGTACTATTGTTACTGGCGTAGCCGCAGTTCCCTGTGGCAAAAATTTCAATTGGCCTTTCACGGTATTTATTTCGTTTCCATTTCATGCACCGATTTTGAAACCAAATCACCACCTATAGCAGGATGCGACATTAACTCCGGTGAAACTGTTAGTAGTATTTATATTATAGCATAAGTCTCTAATAGTATTTAACGTTCATCATGGGTATATGCGAAAATAGCAATAGTGGCTATTTACTCTAAGATAAAAGTGGGTCAAAAAAAGTTCCGAAACCTAAGAAATTGTTATTTCTTTTCAAACCACAGAACTCAAATAATGTATTTTTTAGTTTGTTCAAATTGAGATCGTATACGCTAGTAAAAATCGATTCGGGATGAAGCACACATCCCTGATCATAACGAAGTTGTCTTTCGGTTAGCTGAGCGAATAGCGACCTCATATCGTCTCATCCGCATGAGGTAGTTACTTAAACAGAGCGGATGATAACTGCCCGTTATACTTATTCGCTAATGGGATAAACCCGCAGTGCTAAAGATTTTTGACTAGAACGTAGAAACTGTTTAGTGAATATGGCAGGTCAAACATGAAGGGTTATACAAAAATCTTTGAAACAGGGATACCGCTACGGACGTACTGATTCTAAAGAGCAACTGCGTTCCACTCCTTGGCCGCGACTCTAAAAATCATCGTTCATCTCATCCTCCTTTTCCCGGCTCAAATTCAGGTTTATCGACATCTTCTCGCGATTCAGATTGGCAAATCTGAATCGTCGATTGTCTACGTAATTGTAATGTCATGCTTAGACAATGCTAGGATTGTTAGAGGTACGTTCCTCGAGAAACTCGGAATCCTACGGTTTTCCGTAAACAGTCAGTTCGTGGAATTGTCATCTCTCGCTGATAAGGTTGCGAATCCCAAGCGCATCACAAAGTGCTTTGTCCTTCGGTTTGTGACGTCGGCGCTCGATTCAGTTAATTGTGTTATGTTGCGTGGCATGTAGCTCATCCAGAACCGCTGATCATGCGGACTGTAAAGAGATGATCGTATTGATAATTGGACGTTCTGGTGCCTTGACTCAAAAACTCACGAAGATGACCATTATGTACACCCCGCGCAACCACTTGTGACACTTCTGAGCTTGCGTATGCTAAGCCTTCCAGTTTACAAATGGTTTATACAAATGGCTGGTACTCAAAAAATATCACCTTGTCCTATTTAAAGTTGATGGCTGCCTTAGTTTGTCCGCGGTCATTATCATATAATCTGAAGAGGCAGCTGATCAGGATAGAACGTATCTTAATACATATCCGTATATTCATTATCTGGATTATACAACTATACATTGCTAGAATCACTGGCCCGGTGAAAATGAGCGATGAGGGAACTATTGCAATGTAATAGCCTGCTACCACTTTGTCTTTTAGTTGTTAACCAACCAGCGAGTTTGTGGTGAGGGGCATGCATAGAATGGTTTGCAATGGGGGCAGTAAACTTAATTAGGACACAATACAACTCAACTCACGTTTCCTTGCAAGCACTAACTACCCCCTTTTCACCCCGTTCACATCCCTTTCCCCAGTTGCCTTAACGACACGTCACCGTTGCGTGCTGATGTCGTCGCTACGAATACGTATGATACTACACCAACAATAACAACAACGGCACCCCCCCCCTCTCCCGCCCCACTTCACTTTGTGTTTCTGCTTTAGCACAGGTATAATTTAATTTAGATCGACTTAGTCCTGCTGCAGAAACGCAGAGACATCCAAGCATGCATACGGTCGTAGACGTTTCGAATTTTACGCCTGGCACCATCGCTACGCATCCCATCAGCAGATTGGGTTCCAGCACAAAACTAAGTTCGTTTATGTACGGATTCGAACCTACACCACAGCGTGTAAGATTAACAGGCGAGTACATAGTAAGTTACCACCAGAATACCATATATACACATCATAGTAGCAATTAAATAGAGAAATACGTCTATGTGAAACTTCGTCGAATGGGACTATATGTACTGATAACCGATAGCGGATACGAGAAGAATCTGTTGGACATGATCTGATGCTCGACACAAATGAGCCGAGTGTTACCTAAAAGGTATCTAGCGTACGGTAGTGATAACCGACATCGCCATTTGTTTGATTGATCTTTTGCGCGCTGTCACCACGCCAAGGTGAATCTGTCCAAAGATCTTTACATCTTTTGCGAGTAAAAGACCGCATGGTGTGACCTTAAATACTATTCGCGCTCACCCGTTAATATGCGGCGCAACGCAGCTTGGGAGTACGATATGTGCAAATACTTCTGTCAGCAAGCAGCTCAACTGAATAGTGCCGCTGGTTCACCGAAGAAAGCACAGGTCTTGCCTTTGTATTCCGTCGAAGCGAACGCGGCACGAGAAAACAGTGGCAAGACGCCATAGTTGTCTTTGGGGAGAAACAAGACGGAAATATTTTACTCGCGCACCTAGCAAGGTGCTTGCTAGTACAGGCCAGAAACGTCGCCTGCTATCAACAAGTCTTAAATCCTTGGAACATGACACAAATGCTTTCGCAGGACCGCGCAGGAACTTCTGTGTACCCTAATGGTGCTAACGAGACTCGGAAGTAATATAACTATTAATACCGAACGGATGGTGAATATCTTAAATAGTGATTTCACGATGTTCTATGTACCTCCTTTTGATCCGGTAATTGATTGTGTACAACGGTATATTTTATTATAAGTATATTAGTATATAAATAGAGTTGTGGTTCTATGGAGAAGACTCCTAGCGGTTGCTGTATAACCGGCTTCTTTTGTTTAGAACCCTATTACTGAGACGAAATAAATATCTACTGAAGTCGCAAGTAAGTCTAACACATATTGTCCTATGTTATTGTTATTCCAGTAGATTTGCTAACTACAATTATACTTCAATCGAAAGTTTTGTTGTGGGCAACAGGTGGCCATGTTACCATCAACATCGCGGCAATGATCTTTTCGAACGTCAACTATTTAATAACAGGTAGTATATAATTTACAGTATTACGATTATTTGAAATATCGGAAGAGACTTTTTCAGGGACTAAAACAGTTTTAAGCACAGATGAAGTCACAAGGAAATGGATTACGCTATTTTATTTGCAAAATATAAACGCTTGCTTTAATTGAATACGGCAATTCCATGGTAGCTCTATAGAACTACCTATTGCATTGCTGGCTGAATCGTGAGGGCTGAGGCCCTTTACAAGCACTCGCCTGTAAACCCTTATAGTACACAATCTCGGTTTAAATCCACTCAAAGGCAATGCAATAATTACTAATGTTATCATCAATCTTTTATTTATTAATCAAGAATTAATGCTACTTCAATGAAGATTTAGTAAAAACTTGATGTTAACGAAGAAACATTAACGAAGTCCTTTAAAGTTAATCATGTAGTGTCTGCTATTCGTGAAAGTTTCACAATAACCATTTACCGCATACTTAAACTTAACTATGGGTCACTGTGTTGTGTAATTATAGATGTCGTTTCTCAATTTTAGGGTTTTTTTTTAACGCTGACCAGCAGCAGGAACTGTCAAATATAAAAATTAAACCGGAAGTTGATACGTTTAATAGGCAGATAATAAGAAAACCTACACTAATCAATTTCTATTTAGTTTTTTTTTGTTTTTAGTTAGTTAGTTAGCTACATAGTTATCAGTTCCATTTTTTTTTCGAACTGGTTTTTGCATAATCTTTGTCTTCTCTGGCTCACAGGTCTTTGTAAATTTTTGCACAGCTTTAATCAGTGAATTTTACACAAAAGATTACCTCTTCCAAGGATGATCTGTAGCGTGCTCCTAAGGAGGAACACTGAGCGTTTGCTCGATACGGGAAGTTTTCCTCTTATTACCATTATCATTAACACAGAAATTTGAAAAAGATGTCGCGCTCGCTGTTGTTGCTTTCTGCTTTTAACAAAAGAGAGCCAGACGTACTGAAAATAGACATTCCAAGAGATGCCGATCGCTTAGCAAGACAGTTATCTATTAATTTGATGGTTACTATTATTTTACGTGTGCCTTACGAAGTTTTTTGGTGTTCTCTTTCTATTTTATCTCGAAACTGTGTTGTTCACTGTTTGTCCCATTTAATTTTCATTGTGTAATTCATGAAATTTCAGGGAAAGTTCAGGTTCCAAAGATGGAGGTTTTTGATAGAAAAATAGAGGTGTTTTTTTCTACGGCTACCCTATTTCACCTTTTGCCGAGGTCAAAAGAATGTTGAAGCAGCCTAAAACATCTGTGCCATACACAGAGAGAGTTGTCACTGAAAGGACTGAGTGAAAACGTTTGTTAAGTTTCGATTGGCCATCCGAGGTCGCTAAAACCTCGTCTGGCAAAGATATCGTAAATTTGCTGAGATAGTAAGCAGCCTACACTTGAATGTTTTCAGGCATCGTCAACGCACATAATTTTATCAAAAATTAGGATCCTGCACGCCTCGTAAGCTAAACAAAATCCAGGGAAGGCACAACTATTCAGTGATTCCTGTCCGAAATTGTATAAGGTGTTGTCAGAATAAGAATTTCCTACACCGAATTTCCACGAATGGTTAGGAGGTGGTCTGAAGCAAAGAAAGGAGTGGGTAGCTTCGGGGATATGCGCCTAAGCTGATAATTAAACCAGATCTTTATCCTATAAAGATTATAATTTGCATTTTGGGGGACAGGAAAAGGAAAGGAAAAGAAAAAAAAATTGGAAAACAAAACAATCAACAGTGACCTGTATATGAGCCTGCTGCATCGATTAAGGAAGGCTGCGCTTTTTGTGAGATGGAAAACCTTCCTTAATTATGTCGTAATTTAATAATGTAAATTTAGTCAAAGTACGAAATATTCTTTTGGTTTTTGTTTTATCACGGCCTGCATCATTTTATTGAAGGTAAAATAGCTTTATTTGCTCTTTCTCCCTCTGTTTTAGAAGGCATCGGTTTGCATTTACTAGAATATCTATAAGTGTGTGAACAATGCTCGATTGGGAAGGAATGAAAGTGTTTTCATTTATCCGCTTTTGTACTCGCGTTG